GCAGTTGACAGTGTCAGTTTGCAATTTATGTTCCATAGTCTTTTCCATTCTTCCAGATTTATATTTCGGCCTCCTGTGGACATTTCTAGTGATGAAGTTCTATGAAGATGAACCACATTGTGGCCACATCATTTTAGTGGCACTTCTATTGGGCAGATAGAGCTTGAAAGTTATAAGAAGATAGGAAAAGAAAACAAACTTTAGTATTAACCAAAGAAGAGAAGATATGAGTCTATTAAAGATGGGTTTAGACTTAAGTCTCTTGCTCAAGAGAAGATACCGAGACTACTTCTAGGCCTGAGACTAGTAATCAAGATAAGAGTGTGTAATAGCCGAATAATTATTTGCCCCTATTCCAGCATTTAATACCAAGCAGAAGTCTTTTGAAAAAAAGTAGAACATTATAGTGAAACTTTCTTCCCATCATTTGACTTCTTATCCCTGTTGCTGACCTGTTCAGTTTGCATCAAATTTTACCTCAACTTAGCTCATGTTCCAAGTTTTCAAAGATGCAGAATTCTTGTAAAGATGAGAAGTGTGTTTTTTGTCGCAGTGTTTCTGTATTGGCACTTGGCAGAGTGTTGACGCTGATTTTACATTTGATCTCGGAAGTGGCATGAGTACAACTAAAGTGGTATTTTCAAATGAGAAATGCAATGCCAAGACTGTTTGAGATGGAGCTAATTTAGCAGTGGGAATAATTTCTGCATATTTTAAATCATAGGCTAACTTTGTCATAATTTATATGTTTACTAGACAACTCAAGGTCTGTTGGATGATCCTCTCAGAGATATTCCCTTACTTAAACAGAAACACAGAATGACCACTGGTGGGCAAAAAATAGTAGGAGTGTGAGCAACTTTTGACTTCCTACTAGCTTCCCCATTGATATTACTTTTGGGAAACTGGCAGAGAGTAAGAAATCATTGTTCTCATTTCTGAGATGACCTGGGTAACTGCCACTTTGCTAGGCAGAGAGGGGACAAAGGAAGCTGTGGACCATGAAGAAAACTACACCCCCCCTGGTCCTAATCTGGTATGCCCCCAGGGCCTCATCCATCCAGGAAGAAGAGGACTCATCTATTAGCCACTGGCATCCTTAGCCAGCCCTATCTCACCAGCAAGCATCCAAGTCACTTTCTTGCCCTTCCTTTGGTACCTGCTGCTGTTAAAGAGAGGTCATGTTTCAGCCTTGGCTTCAAAGCAACCAACTGCAGCTCATCTATTGGGCTTTGTTGCCAGTTGATTGGACATAGGGGCCAGAGCGGGCTAGAAAGAAGGCAAGGATATATCCTTCCCATCTTCCTATGTGCAACACAACCTACAGGATTCTGGAAAGTGTAATTCCAAGGCACGATGGTGATGAAATGATCATAAATTTGCCAAATTTCAATCCCACTGGAGTATTGGAAACATTCTATAAGTTAGCCCATTTTGAATCCAGATTCAAAACTTGTTGCCTTATGAGGCACCATTTCACCCATTCGAAAGTTACAGGCACAGAAGTTTTAGTAGTATATAGGTAATGCATGGCAGGACGAGAAGCAATGGGTGGAAACTGATCAAGGAGAGAAGCAACTTAGAACTAAGGAGAAACTTCCTGACAGTTAGAACAATTAACCAATGGAACAACCTGCCTCAAGAAGCGGTGAATGCTCCAATACTGGAAGTTTTTAAGAAGAGACTGGATAGCCATTTGTCTGAAATGGTGTAGGGTTCCTGCCTGAGCAGGGGGTTGGACTCGATGACCTCCAAGGTCCCTTCCAACTTTACTACTACTACTACTACTACTACTACTACTACTACTATTATTAATATTAATATTATTAATATTATTATTATTATTATATTTGTAACAGCTGTGGCACATTGTTCAAATTTGAAGAACCCTGCATATACTGGTTCATCCACAATAACAGATTTTGTATGAAGTGGGGATGTTTTTTGGTTTGTTTCCTTAAAAATGGTTGAATCTAAAAGGCAACTTTGGTGTGAAGATAGCAATTCAAGTGAAACAGCTGGGTTCTTAATGTTCTTTGAATATGGCTTTCTTCTTATATGATGTTTTGTTATCAGACTAGGTAACATCATCAGCACTCTGGCATAGGAAAGTGGGATACAGGGTGTCCTATCAGCCCTGTGCGTGTTTGGGCAGGATCTGTGACATTTTTTCTTCTTTGATTGGTGGCAAGCTATTGCCTGCTCCTTGTTGCTGTGATTAGATGCTAGTTCCTACTTATCTTGGGAGTTGGTTAATGAGGATGTGCTCTGGGCCGTCTAGCCCTTCTTTTGAGCTTTTGTTGTTGCTTTTGAATTTTGAAAAATAAATGGAGTTTATTTCTATATGCTTATTAATTGTGAATTTGTCAGAGTGCCAAGCTTCTAAGAATTCTCTTGCATGGAATTGAATTCACAAGAAAGGAAGGAAACAGTGACATACTACCCTTCTTAGACATACTCATAAAAGAGAAAATAATGGTAATTGTAAGACCAAGTGCATCATAAAGCAACCCCATTTTAATCGAGTACTCAACCACCTACAGGACAGAAAAGTTCATAACAACCCTATTCAGATTACCAAAAATGATTGTGGTAATCCAGAACTCCAGGAAGGAGAAATAGATTACCTATACAACATGTTCCAATTAAACGGATACCCTGCAACTTCATTTTAAAAAATGCCTATTCATGCAACCAACCAGAATGCTTTTCCTTGAAGGTTACAGTTGGCTCTATGGTTTCTGTTTGTAGAGGCCAGGTCTTCTTTACCAGGCCTTTTATTAGGCCGTTTCAACTTGTGGGAGTTTCATTGTATTTTATTGTTTTGGGGGAAGTGCACCACAGATCTTAAATAAATCTCTTGATCTGTGTTGCAGTTTCAAATAGGGGAAAAGGGCCGTGTTCACAACTGTTTACATTGCCTCATCAATTATTTTAATTGTTTTAATGGATAGATTGATTAAAGAAAACAAGAAGCATCAGGAATTAATTTTGGACATTTGTTCAGAAAAGGACAACTTAAAGGATGAGCTGAAGAAGAGAACAGAAACTGAAAAGCAATATCTGAATATAATTAGACAGGTAAGAGTTTTATGCCGATCCAAGTTTAGTGTCCCTCAGGAAATGTGTATTTCTATATATAGCCTTAAATTGATCTTCAGAAAATTGGATTTCAGATTATTCTTTCCACAGTCTAAGACCAATATTTTTTTTTCTGGTGGACTAAATGGTAGTGATTTCTTTTTTCAATTGCAGAGCAAGGTTTTCTTTCAGAAAGGAAAGGAAGTGACAATTCATTTTCAAGCCTTGCTGGACCACATTTAAAACAATATTTATATGCTTTATTTTTGTCTTCCCATATCGCCTGTTAATTTTTCTTTGCTTTCCAATTGATGGTTCTGAAATTTCTGAACCCATTCCAGCCTAGATCCTAATGGATATTCAAACTGTTCCACAACTAATTTTTTTTGAAAAAAATAATGTATTACTCAATAGGTTATCACTGCAGAATTTGTTATATACATATTGGTATGTTGGGTTCTTATTCTTATGTTTAATTTTTTTCTAAGGTATATAATTGCAGAAATTATGACTTCTAAAGTGTCTGTTTTTTAAAGGTTTTTCTTCAAGTTTTACATATTATGTAGTTTACATGTACGTATACCTACTGACATTTGTTTTCACTTTATAGCTGGAAGTCAGAATAGAAGATGTCCAGAAAGAAGCTAAAACAGTTAAAGATAAACTTGTATCTCAGGATGCTGCTGCAAAAAACGCTATACAGCAACTGCACAAAGAGATGGCCTTTCGTACAGATCAGGTGATTAATCAGGTTATAATTTCCTAGCTTAGAATATAAGCTGTTTTATTCCAGTCACATGTTTATGTTATCTATTCTAAATTACTGGGAGCCAAGTTAATAGAAACAAGTTCCCTCTCAATTTTCTGTAGGAAACTATGTATTTTGTAGTCCTTCAATTGATTTTTTTTTACTTTCCTTGGAGAAGAAAACAAAAATTTGCTCTCATGTCTAAAGTAAATTTTGTAATATTTGGTATTCTAAGGCAAACAAGAAATGTGAAGAAGCCCGTCAAGAAAAGGAAGCTATGGTCATGAAGTATGTTAGAGGAGAAAAGGAGTCTTTGGACCTCAGAAAGGAAAAGGAGATCCTTGAAAGAAATCTGAGAGACGCAAACAAAGATATTGAAAAGCATACTAACAAAATCAAGCAGCTTTCCCAGGAAAAAGCAAGATTGCACCAACTATTTGAAAGCAAGGTATGCTATTTGCACTGACATTCTTTTGGTAGTCACCTCGAATACCAAAAATAGGCAAACATGATTATAACCATTTAGTGGTTCTTGCACATGAAGTGGAGAAAGGAGTTACATTAAAATGAAGCAGAGGAGAAAAGTTTCAGCATATTTATTTTATATATATATCTGTGATGAACTGGATTCTTTTGGGGACTCTTAAAGAAAACAATTACCATGAATGGAGGACCATGCCTAAACACAGACTGATTCCTATGATTGATATGGTCCCACAGAACTATTGATTATCCAGAATTCAAGCCATGGGGATATTTTTAAAGCAAGCTATGGGATTCAGCTATCACCATTTGAGCCTTCCTAAACTTGTAAGATGCTGGCTTTATGTCTATTCTTTACCTACCTGTCCATCTAGAGTACTTACCCACCCACCTACCTACTTACCTACCTACCTACCTATTTGCCGTAGAGTACCTACCTACCTACCTGCCTGCCTGCCTGCCATTAAAACAATCTCAGTAGAAGAGCAGAAAAATTCATTACAGGAACCTGCCAGCCAGATATAAAAAGAGATATCCACAATCTTCAAGCATACATTCATTATATTATATTGCTTATCTTCATTTATGCAAATAAATAATATTCGAAAATCTGAATTTCTATCTGTGTTACTTTCTCAAGTATTTTAATTTTTCTTAATTTATGGAAGATGGAGCTAAGTCTAGTTACCTGCACAATACTTGTGGCAATAAGACTCTATTGTTATTTATATGTCATGTCTAATTTTATTAAGGTAACTAATATTTTACAGAATTAGAACTATTTCACTATAAAACAAAGAAACAAGGAATGCTATGGTATTGTAAAGTGATAAGTTGAAAAAGGACTTACTTCATATTTTTCAGCATAGTGAGGAATTTGCTGCCCCCAAATGGTGAAATTTGAATTATGTGCAATCTAAATTATGTTTAAAGGCATGTTTACATGTGAGGTTAAAAGTGTTTGTGCTTCGTAACAGAAATAAAAGCCTAATTGATCAAAAGGCTGATTTACATAAATAAAGACCCCCTTCTGCCTTTGCAATATTTTTTCAATGTAAGATTTATTTTTCTTAAAACAGAAAAAAAAGGAGTTACCACACTGGAGATAGCTAAAATCAAGGTGAGGGGAAAAAATAACAAGTGCTTTAATAAATTCAGATGTGATACCATTAGATTTTATGTTAACATCTGTAGCTTTGACAATATTATCAGTTTTGAAAGAGGTAACAAAATTGTTTTTATTGACTATGTTCAAGCAAAGCCTAAATGGTCATCTGCAAAAATGCTTTAATTGACATTCCTGCAGTAATTAGTCACTTCTAATTCTACAAATCTTTGATTAACATTACAATATCAGTCATATCACACTGTACATTCAGGTCTTTGCAGGAATTAATATTCCATTGTCACTAGCTCAATAGATGCAGGCAAGTAGATTTCTTAAAAATCAAGAAAATCTAGGTATTTTATGCTCTGCTCTATTTAATCCATTATGATTACATTTTTTGTTTGCAAAATGATAAAGTAAACTTTTTATTAGTTCATATATGCTCAATTAACATCAGTATTCTAAAATTATCCTTTATAAAGGAAAATGAAACCACCAGAATGTCACGAGATATAGAAAAATTAAAAGAAGAAGTCAATTCTTATGTGATCAAAGTAAAATGGGCTCAAAACAAATTAAAGGCTGAAGTGGATTTACACAAGGTCAGTATGTCTAATTTTATAAGAGACCTATAAGGGTTTTAAGATCATTTGCTTGTCTAGGAATTTCTTGTCTAGATCCTTTATTTAATTTGTAAATAAAATTTTAAAATTTTAATTTGTAGGTTACTGAATGGAGACCACAACTTTTTGGAGGGGCCTCAGGTCTTTACTTGGCCCTTTTAAAATAAGACATAGATACTTGAAAATAAAATGATGTAACTAATTTAATCCTTTCCATGCATTTATTGTTATTTTTTTATCTTTGTCACTTTAAACCAGGGGTAGTCAACCTTGGCTCTTTTATGACTCAGCTCAGGAATTCTGGGAGTTGAAGTCCACGAGTCATAAAAGAGCCAAGGTTGACTACCCCTGCTTTAAACATTCTGGGCAGGGAGATAGATAATAACAATGAAAATAAAAAAGATTCTACATGCATGGCTTTGGATTTACCATAGGTGGGAGCTTCTCATTGGGGCTCTCTGTTCCACCATGAATTGAAATAGAATGCTATCATTTTTGTTAGGTTTTTAATCTACCAATGTTCTTATTTTAATTACTAGTAAGTAATTATTAAATCATTTTCTAGGAAACCAAAGATCGCCTTAAAGACGCAACAACAAAGTTAACTCAGGCCAAGGAGGAAGCTGAGCAGATACGAAAGAATTGCCAAGAAATAATAAAAACATATCAGGTATGAGCTAATTTTGCTTTCATATAAATGTTTTCTTGCAATATAGAAAGGTAATTTTCTGTCTAAAACAGAAGAGTAATGACCTATGATACACACATATCATGGTTTATATGGGATGATACAAAATATTATGTTATTTTAATCTAATATAGACTTGATCCCTATGCCAAATAAGTTATAACAATGTCATGTGGCATCACTAGTTCATCTTTTCTCAATATCAAATTATTTTCTTAAAATAGGCAATTTTATGTACCACTTAAGACAGTGGTGCCGAACCCATGGCACGCGTGCCAGAGGCGGCACTCAGAGTCCTCTCTGTGGGCACGCGTTCCGTGCCCCGGAGATGGCAACCGTCCCTCTTCAACCAGCCGCCCGATAACTCACCGAAGTCCCACATGGCTGGATGCATCCCAGCACCCATGTGCTCGCTGGGCTCTGTGTGCAGGGGCTGATGGTATCAGGCAGCAGCCACCCCGGCCCCTGTCTCATCTTGCCCTGTGATAATGGCACCCCCACCCTGCCTCGCCTTGCCTTGCCTTGCCTCACCCTGCAGGACGAACCTCCTGCCCACCACCTCACCTGCCAGGACCCCCTGGATCTCCCCCAACCCTGCCCGGCCTCCACAGGCAACCCTCTCCATGAGCAACATTGAGGTGATCACGCCCACCTTGGCCAGACCCACCCAGTCTGCCATGACCATCACAGCCACATCCATTCAGTGGGCCACGCCTACCTGGCACCCGGCGATAAATAAGTCGGTTTTGGGTTGCAGTTTGGGCACTCGGTCTCTAAAAGGTTCGCCATCACTGACCTAAGAGAAGCCCAGTTTCTGTAGTTAACTCAGTTGTAGAAAGTATTGAATTCTTTTAAAAAAAACCTCATTATCTTATTTGTATTATTAGATTTAATATTATTCAGTATTAATCAATATTAATATTCAAACTGATCTTGAGAGGAGCTAATATAATTTACAGGAAAATCATGCTAACATTTCCAGGCGGGCAGACATCTTCACATAGAGAATAAACACGTGTTCTTGATTTACCAACTGATGTTGTCTCCATTTATTGTTGGAGATACTGATCGTTCAAGGCAGCTTTACATTTAATAGATCAAGATATCTGTCATGTATTTGCATCTATTTGTCCCACTTTCAGTGCAATGTGTAAAACAAGTTCAGTCATTCCACAAAGTCCCACATGTTTAGAATGTGAGGGAGTGTTTCAGTCTCACTACTTGCTTATTTCTTGCTGGTATGGAAAGCAGCTATTTGTTTCCAAAGCTGACTTACTAAAACAAACAACTTTTAGGTTTACTGTAAATGAAAAAGAGAAAAATAAATTGTGCAATGAATAGGTCTCAATGATAGATATTTTAATGTATAAATTACACCATCAAGATAGTTGAGATAATATTTATATAGGTATAAGATTCTGGAGAGGGCATTTAAGTCTGCTTCATAAGCTCATCTTCTATGTTTTTTCAACTTTAAACTGTAACGCTGTTAGGAATCTGAAGAAATTAAATCCAATGAATTGGACCTAAAACTTCGACTTACCAAAGGAGAACTGGAGAAACAATTGCAAGAGAAATCTGATCACCTAGAGGTAAAACGTATTACTTGCATCAGTTTTTACTTTTTTGTGAAAATTAAATATAGCTGCTAGATTATGACAAAAAGAGATCTGATAAAAATCACATCTAACAGGAAGAAAGCTGAAAAGTCATTCCTCCAAATTAAACAGAGATATGTCTTGGGATTTTTTTTCCCTTCCAAAGGTCCATCATGCCAAGATAAAAGAGCTTGAAGATGTGAAGCGAACATTTAAGGAAGGCATGGATGAATTGCGAACGTTAAGGACAAAGGTAAGAAAAGGGAATTGCCTTTAGCTGCAAGGAGAATGGTGATGTCAAGGATTCTTTAACTTTTCTAGAAAATGCGTACATATAGTTTGTTTATTTATTTATTTATTGAAATTATACATCTATGCATCTATGCATGGTGGCCTATATTGTGATAGATAGATAGATAGACAGACAGACAGAATATCATGAAAAGCAAAACACTTCAGTGTAGCCAAGGTTTTTAGTGCCCTAAATTGCAGATGATCTGTGGGAGAGCAACCCCATCCAGAGTCAGAGATGGAAAGGCTCCAGAGTCAAGAGCCCTAAAATTACTGTGAAGGAGCCTTGATGCTATCAATTGGATAACCCAGGGCAGAGATGTACTGTTGAGTGGCCTTAGTGAATTGATGTTACTTAACTGTGTGCCAAGAGATGACCTAACTCAGCATCATCATTTGGATATTAAATAAAAATTAGGAGAGTAGCAAATTGAAAGGCAACCCACAAGGCAAGGGCCTAATGCAGATGTACATGTTGAATAGTTAAACCTTTAAGTGTGTTTGCTTCTGCAAATTAGGACTTGAAAGCATTTATGAAACTATGAACTCTAAAAGAAGAAGGTTTCTTCTAGAGTTCACATGTGGAAGAGTTATTTTTTCTATGCAAATTAAGCTATTTCTGAAATTACACTACAGCCATAAGTTCAGGGCAATGCTTAGCTTTTTTGAGCTTAAATCTAAGAATTATAAATGTGAGCCAAAGTCCACCTACAAAGTCAGTATTATAAGTAAAGTTAGGGATAGTGCAAAATGTGATACGCTAGGCCAGGGGTAGGCAACCTTGGCTCTTTTATGACTCGTGGACTTCAGCTCCCAGAATTCCTGAGCCAGCATGGGAATTCTGGGAGTTGAAGTCCACGAGTCATAAAAAAGCCAAGGTTGCCTACCCCTGCGCTAGGCTATTGGAAAGGTATTCTGTTTTATGAGCTATTTAATTTTATGCATTCCATATACGTAATTATCATTTATTGCTGAAGTCTAAACCTATTGTGGCAACCTTCATTTCCTGCTCTTCTGTTAAAAATGTGATTCTCCTGAACAGCAGAGTCTTCAAAATCTTAATACAAGTCGGATAGCTTTGTGAAATATTTCAGTGTTCAAAAGCTTGACAGAATCGCCAACTGCTAAATTAGATCTAATTGTTGCTATTTGAACTTTTATCGCTTCGTTTTTGTTCATTTTGTTAATTCTGTAAAATCAAGGAGTGGAGAGGTAAGGGTGGAAGACTCAGTAACCCTTTCTAAAAATGAAATTTTTAAATAAAAGTTTATGCTGTAAAGATGTAAATGCAAAATACTTCAAAATACCCAATAATATGAATAGATTTTCTCCAATTTGGAGGCTAAAACCACACAAAAATTCAGTTTTCCATTTCTAGAATGATCAGGTCACATATAGCAGTCCTTTTTTTCTCTTGTAAAAATGAGGAGATTCAAAGCTACAATTAATTTAGATTAATTGTAATTTATGTCTGTATTATAATAGTTATAATAATTAATAGTTAATAGTTAATTAAAATATGGGACCTTATAATTGACAATTCACATTTGGCTTCTTTTGACAAATTGAGATTTATCAAGGTAACTTATTTTGTGAGATGAAAGTGAAAATTTCCAAAATAGTTCTGGGATCTCTTAGAAGAGAAAGCAGCAAATGATTCTGAAAGAGAAAGTAGGCTGAATATTATCTAGCATGCCTGTTCTAACAAGATATTTTAATGCCCTGAAAAACTAATAAAACATATTATATAAAATGCTATTTAAATTTACGAATTAGCTTTGTTTATTAGGTCAAGTGAAATCTTCTACTTGCCAACTCTTGTCTTCTACTTAATAGTTTTATGTCTCTTGAATAATTAGCTGTCTTCCGACTCTAAGTATTAAACGATCTCTTTCACTTTTGACATCTAGTCGACGTCCTCGTTGTAGTTTCCATATTTTCAATTTAAACATTAAGAAACAAAATAAAATTTGTTACCTTATTAAAATGTACACCGGCTTTCTATTTGAAACATTCTGTTTGGTGCAACAAAATCATCTCCATATAATTTAAACAGTGGTTTTTAAAAATAAAATTAACTTAATTATGTACATCAAAATACCAAGCAATACTTTGTTGCTGTTTAATATAGGTGCTCCAGATATTTCAAATTTTGAGTACCCTTTTTCATGTTTAAAATGGTCTGATTCAACCATTCTCAAAATGCTTGCATGATATTTGAAGCAATTTATGTTTTGAGTATGAAAGAATTGTTTTGAACTCAAACCAGGGTATTTTAAAGTCAGAATGCTATTGTTTAATACTTCTAAAAGTTTGTTGCAATGCAATGTAGGTTTGTGTTTAAATTCTTGTATTTCAAAAGGAAGAAAGATATTACAGTTAAGCTAATACTAATTATAAAAATGATTTATATTTTTATATATCTTTAATTATTTAGGATTTTGTTATTATATTTCTATAAACACATATGCCTTTATTTATGACTAAGAACTCTGGCTGGTTCAGCTATTTGAAATGATATGATCTCATTTTTGAAATAAGAATGATAAACATTCTCGTTTTTGTGTGTGTGTTTATCAATTTATGATGAATCATTCTTAAAAAGTTAAAATCAGAAGAGATCTTTTGAGTAACATTTGCAAAGATAAATTTTATTTTATCTTATGGTATATATTTTAATAAAATGTACCATAACTTTTCTGTGTATTTTATAACATATTAAATAAAGGCAACTATTGTTTAATTGGAGAACCACCATATAACTCACAGGTTTTATAAATGATAATTATCTGTAATGTTTCAGTGTCACTAATTTCCTTTTGGATTTGCAATATGTAACATAAGCATTTCTTGCCCATTAACACTGAAACCCATTTCCACAAAATATATTGTTGGGGTGCTTGCAGTTTGAAGCTGGTGCGTAACTGCTTCATATTAGAAGTGACTCCTGTCATTAAACACATTTTGCTTTAGAAGTTAAAACTATTTAATTGCTATGAATCACCTCATGTCCTAATTTTCTATAACCACTTCCTTAAGTAGGTAATAAATATCTTATATTTGGAACAGGCCTTCACATACCAAGATTTGGTCCAGACCAGTTTAACTGGTCTACTATTGTTTGAAACATTTTTGGTTTGTTTTTATTGTCTGTTTTAACCAAAAGAAATTAGGGTGGGATAAGGGTACTAAGGAATGTCAGGCTGCAGGCATTGGTGACTTGTTTTCAGCTGTACATTTTGTATTTGCCCAGTTGAGCTAAACCAGAAAGAGAGCTTTGCTTGCTTGGTTTACTCTCCATGTTTTATTCTTTAAAATATACATTTGATTTAGAGATGAACAAGAAATGAACTCTTGGAAGGAAGAAGTGGATAGTCTGAATACACTGCTTAATGACTTCCAGAAGGACATAGATGGCAGCCGTAAAAGAGAATCTGAGCTGTTGATGTTCACCGAAAAGCTAACCACGAAGAATGCCCAACTCCAGTCAGAAACCAACTCCTTACAGTTGCAGCTTGATAAGTTAACCTTCACGGAAAGAGAGTCTCAGAATCAGCTGGAACTTGTTAATCAAGCAAGAGATGAACTGGTAAATCAAAGTGCTAGTGAAATATTTCATTTTTCCTCTATTACCACTACCTGCAATCCTGTGATTGCTGTGGGTCAAGGAGCTCTCCCAAAATTGCATTTGGTTTCTCCTGGGCAAATTTGTTCCATTTTAAATGGTTTTCACATTAATCCTAGAGTTCAGTTTTCTCTTTATCAATAGGAGTCATGTCTTGCTTGCATTTCATTTCCGTTTGTTCACATAAAGCAATAACATAACAATAAACTTTAATTCCTTTGTGCCTGTAGGGAACTATGAACTGCCAATGGAGAATAAATAGTTATCCTGCAAAATGCAACTTTTGCTTGTAGGGTTTAGGATATGCTTTATGACTTGCATATGGTAGGGCAGGGTAACCCTTGGTTTGAATCTCTTCCCATGACCTTAAGCAAGCAGCAAATGTATTTTTATACTATGTAGTGTTTATCGATTTTGACCAACATTGGTTTAAAAGAGTTTTATTTTATTCTGTTGTGTTGCTAAATTTAGTTTTAATGTTTTCTGTTCTATAGACCGTTCCTGAACCACCCTATAAGGGTTACATTTCTACATAACAATTGTGCTTATTTTCTGCTTTTCATGATAAATCCATGTTGCTAAAAAAAACCCACCAAGGAACAATCTATTGGCCTGAAACAAATTGAATAGGATGAACCAGACAAATCATTCAGCAGACCAAAACATTGCAAGCTGTTCTTGAATCTCTTTTATTTTAAAACAAAACAAAACAGTATTTTAAATTATATGAAATACTGTGGAAAGGAAATGCTGATTATA